TGTGAGAACTTACTTGCATCAAACCTTTCATGTAATACCCTTGGTGGAAGCATAAGTGGAGACATGTTGGGCAAGTTGAATCAGTTGAGTTGGCTACTTGATTTATCACACAACCAACTCGCAATGTCCATACCAGTAGAGATGGGTAGCTTGATAAACCTTGGTTCCTTGAACATCTCCCACAACAATCTCACGGGAAGAATACCGTCCACAGTCGGTGCTTGTGTCCGATTGGAAGCGCTTCGTGTAGAAGGGAACCTCCTACAAGGAAACATCCCACAATCACTAGCAAACCTGAAAGGCATGCAAATGTTTGATTTCTCCAACAACAACCTATATGGTACAATTCCAGAGTTCCTCGAGACCTTCACCTTGTTGCAGTATCTGAATATGTCCTTCAACAACTTGGAAGGATCAGTCCCCACAGGTGGAGTGTTTGCTAACACAAGTGGTATTTTTGTCCAAGGAAATCCACACCTTTGTTCAAATGGTGCATTAAGAGAGCTTCCTAGATGCTTTGCTTCAGCATCCACAAAAAAGCAAAAGTATTTTGTTCCTATGATGATAGCTCTGTCAGCTCTTGTCGCACTTGCCTTAATCTTGGGGGTGTTCAATTTTTGGTTGAGAAGGAGATACACATCCGGTGAGAGAATTGGCCATTCATACATGGAGTTGAAAAGGATAACATACGGTGACGTAATCAAAGCAACAGATAGTCTTTCTCTAGCCAATGTGGTCGGCTCCGGCAATTTGGGACTGTCTACAAAGGTTGGTTCGACGCGGAAGATGGTACGGTTGCTGTTAAAGTCTTCAAGCTCAATCAGCATGGCGCATTGCATAGCTTCATTGCCGAGTGCAAAGCTTTGCAACACATCCGCCATCGGAACCTCGTGAAGGTGATAACCGCATGCTCAACTTATGACCTAGTGGGAAATGAGTTCAGGGCTCTAGTCTTTGAGTATATGGCCAACGGGAGCCTTGAAGACCGACTTCACAACCACCAGTGTGGTGGTTTGAGTTTAGGCGCAGTGATCTGCATATCAGTTGACATTGCTTGTGCTCTTGAATACCTACATAACCAGTGCATCCCACCGGTTGTTCACTGCGACCTAAAACCAAGCAACATACTTTTCGACAATGATGATACTGCACGTGTCTGCGACTTTGGTCTGGCAAAGCTAATTCATGGGTGTTCATCTGGAGGGCAGAGCGACACAACAAGCATAGTTGGACCAAGGGGATCTATTGGGTACATACCTCCTGGTCAGTATATTTTACAAGCCCATTATGAAATAATGTTAATGAAATGTAGTATGACTAACTATATCAGTTGCTAGTTTGTTTTTTATTAATACTAGCATGTTTCACTTTTGTACTCCGTTGAAGAACTTTTTGTTTCAAAACATTATTGCGGAGTATGGCATGGGCAGTGAAATCTCAACCGAGGGTGACGTCTACAGCTATGGCATTGTTCTTTTGGAAATGCTTACACGGAAACGGCCTACCAATGAAGAGTTTAGTGATGGCTTGACGCTCCACAAGTATGCAGATGCATCACTTTCACTTTCACGAACCCAAGACATTCTTCACCCCAGTCTTACTTTAGAGACGGGAGATCAGTGTGTCGGTCATATCCCAAACTTGCAAGAGCACAACACATTTGCACTAAAGGATATGTGTACTCTCCGGCTCCTTAGACTTGGCTTATTATGCTCCGCGAAATCCCCGAAGGATCGCCCAGGGATGCATGATGTCTACGGTGAAGTAACTGAAGTAAAAGAGGCATTTTTCTCTATTGACAACTGAAGGCAATGACCCTACATAATGAAGGCAAAGACAATCGACGAAGATGAAGATGAAGAGATGAAGCTCGTTGCTTCGACCACAGCATGACAGCATGTTGCTATCTTTTTTTCCTTTTCTGTAAGCCAACATGTTTGGCTCACTGTAATAATTTGGTTACATACACTCCCAATGTCCCGACAAGATCTTCTGATAATCTTTTCATACATTAATAAAGATCCCTTTGGCTTATAATGACGGGCTTCTACTAGGGCAATTTTTTTTTGCTATTTTCTTTGCTGAAAAAACTAGAAGCCTATAGAACAAAAACACATTGTACACGCCCGTCAGATCCCCACGTAAACCAATATTAAATGATAAATACAGTTGGGTCTCGACAGCTCATTTTCCAGTTAACCTCTCGCCACGAACTTGTAAATTTTCATCAAAATTTGTGATCATTTTGTGACCGAGGCAAAAACTTTCGAGATACAAATGAATAGCCATAGAGTTGTCTTTTTCGTACAAGTAATATTTCACAAGATATAGCCCAATTTAAAACCATGAACTATTTCACATTTTTTGGGAACTGAAAACAAATAGTACTGGGGTGACAGAATTACTTTCCCCTGTGCATGAGGTCACAGGTGTCTAATTTATCTTAAAATGAAGACCTGTAGTAGAGCTAGGAAAAACTTGAAACATAATTATAACCATGACATGCTTGGCAGTTTCAAATTAAACCATGTCGTAAACTGCAAAAGGATTGGCTGAACTAATCTGCACTCTGAAGTTTTCCATATACACAGGTTGCCTGGTCATACATGTGGGATCATCTGTTCCTGCAGGCCAAGGTTGCAACCACACCAAAATGATGTATTAAAATCACCAGACAAATACTCTTTACACAACACACATACAAAAAAACGCAGAACCATAAATCGCGGGCTCCTGGTCGCATGCAAGTACATCAACTTCTAACATTCGGCTTCCACATTCTTATCGCACGAAATAGCATAGTGCGTCACCCAAGAGCCTTTTTTACACTCTCCGTTCAGCAGGGAGGAATGGTATACCTGCATCTGACCAGCACCTAAGAGCACCCCAAACATTTACTTACTGGGCCTAGGAACTCTAGAAAGCCGTGCGTTGGTGGGGGTGAATTTTCATCTGTTTTACAGGGCAGGTGTTTGAGGAATGCCCTGACTGTACCCGTTACGCCGTCTTCAGATTCCATGGCCTTGGCAAGCTCCACAGCCTTTTCTTTCACCTGAAAATCACATGTGAAAATACATGTTTGCTGTAATTCTACCAACAGGAGATCATACAAACTTGTGAGTTATAAATAAGTTCTGAATCAGGGAAGTTTAGTTTAGTACTGATTTGTGTATATGTCCCAAAGCCGTTCCAATTTGAGAACTTAAGATCTGAGTTTGAACATTCTAATTATCCAATTTACAGGAATGGAATCAGTCCGGGTTCCTGTTTCTTGGCAGTAACCAGTCTGTTCCTGTGCTTTTGCAATCCTGCTAGGTACCAAACTACCAATGCACTGGTAAGTTACCGACGACAATAGTGTCATTTCAAAAACTCAAGTAAATGGTTGTTCATCTTGACTACAGGAATCGATATATTCTCAGAGAGGAAGCACTAAAACAAAGTATATTTAGATGAAGTCTTCATGTAAAAAACGCTGAAGGTCTTAAAGGGTGGATGGATAATGGCTGTAAGGTTCTAAACTTCTAATTATCAAGGTGTCTAGCTTTCAAATAATTATAACCATGACATTTGTAGTTTCAAATCACATCATTGTGCAAACTGTGAAGAGTAATTGAACTGATCTCCCTTTTTAAGTTTTCCACATAAACAGGTTGCCTGGGCCTACATGAGAGATCGTCGGTTGCTGCAACCACAGGAAAATGGCGTATCAAATCACCAGCTAGTGGTGATTAATGAGCTGGCAAGGCCACAGGCACGCTTTGCTTGACTGAAAACAGAGACTTTGAATCGCTATGAGATCAGGATTGCTGTGCTTGAGCGTCCAGACTCCGCAGGCTTGGTTCACACCAAGCCAGCTTCTCACCAGGGTGAAGAAGGGCCAGAGGTTTTTTCTAGTAGCTGAAATAATTTTGTCGCCTTTGTTCTATTTAATCTAGATAACCGAGACTTGTCGTGACACTGTTTTTAAAAGAAAGTGATCTTAGCAACGAATAACCATGCACAAGAGAAAGTCTTCAAAGAGTTGGGTGTTGAGGTAATTTGTAAAGAAGATGATGTTAGAGATACTCAACCTTCTACTAGCTAGGGATGTTTTTTCTTTGATATTTTGTTCATTTGAAAAAATTTATGCATGTACAAAAACACACTGGACGTACCTGCCAGATGCCTGTGTACAAATATTTCATGAGAATTTCATTTTTCTAGCTCTCGGCACCAACTTACAAGATTTCATCGAAAAAATACAGAGGTTTCTACTTATTTTGTCTTAAAATGAAGCCCCGTAGCAGAACTAGGAAGAGCTAGAAACAAATAACTATAAACATGACATTTCTTGCAGTTTCAAATCACAACATAGTTCAAAATGCGAAAGAGTAATTGAACTAATCTGCCCTTTTTGAAGTTTTCCACATAAACAGGTTGCCTGGTCCTACATGAGAGATCATCGCCGCAATTTACACATGAAAATGGTGTATCAAATCACCAACTAGTGGTGATTAACGAGCCGGCAAGGTCACAGACAGGCTCTTCTTGACTGAGAACGGAGACTTTGAATCGCTAGGAGGTCAGCGTCCAGAGGCATGCTTCACACCAGCCAGCTTCTCACCGGGGTAACTAGGAATAGTCGTAGCTTCACACTCAAAAGCTGTAACCTCAGGCAGGCCCACTGCTGCCCATGGTGTGGAGCTTAGAGCAACTCCAACGCACCGACCCAAACGAACGGCGATTTTCTCCGTTTTTTGTCCGCTTGGGTCGGCCCGGTGGACACCCACGATCCTCTTTCATGTTTGGGTCGGCACATACGTCCAACGCTGGCCTGACCAATTTTTATAGCGCGCGAAAAATAGAACACAAATATTTTGAAAATGCAAAAACATTAATTAAACATTAATGTCTGCCACAAAGGCCGGCGAGAGTCCATGCGTCCATATTTAAATTAGTTAAACATAACTAAAACTAAACTACGAGGCGGGGCGCTGCCTAGACGTCTTCATTGTCGTCGTCGGGGCCGGTGAGGACGATCAGTGTCGGCGCTGGGTCAACCCACGGGAACGTCGTATTCCAGGCGTTGGCGACGTCGTCCGCCGCCGGCTGGGGTGCTCCGCCCCGGGCACAGCGCGCCTCCTCCTTGGCCTCGTGCTCCAGCTACTCGAGGTAATCATCCTCACGGCGTTCCTTGGCCAACCTTCGCTGGCTCCATTGTTCGAGGTAGGCGCGCTACTCGGCCAGCCTTCGCTGGATCCATTGTTTGCCTGGTGCAGTGGGACGGCGATCCGCTGCCTTGGCCGGCGAGGAGGGACGGCGGGGCCCTTGCCCTTTCCCTTGCCGGAGAAGAGGCCCATTTCTGGTGGCATTGCGGTAGCTAGGGTTTGCTAGGCTTTGTCACCAACGGGGAAGCACAGGGGTGGCGAGATGGGGACGGGGCGTCTGGAAGCAGATGAGGACGGCTCCCCACCGCACGCTCAGATTAAAAAAGGCCGGCCACCGTCACTGACGCGTGGGCCGCGATGGGGGATCGTCATTAAGAAAGCTGACCGCGGTAGTTGGGCGGTCGCCAGGTGGGGCCGCGGCGGACACCGAGAAGGCGCGTGAGGCGTCCGCTCCGACGGTCTGAAATACAGCTATGTCTACGAGTGCCGCGAATGAACCTTCGGTTCTTCCCAAGAACAAGGAGACACGAACTAAATAACTCGTATCAGGCTACGGGAATAGTGAACGGGAAGAAGGAACTAGTGAGGCTTTCGTTGGTCAAACAATATGCCCTCCTCACTTGAGGAGAGTGAAGGTCATTTCAGGCCCAAATTTGGGCTGAAAATGGGTCCGCGTGGACGCGAAGCGGACGTCATTTGAGAATGGGTCGGCATGTTGGGCCATCACAAATGTCCGCTGCTACCCAAACGGATGGCGGCAGATGAAATGGGTCGTCGCGTTGGAGCTGCTCTTACCCCGTCGTGAGGTTAGTCATAGTGAGGAGTAACTTAGACTAGTAACATGTGTATGTTACTAATCTATATATGTTATTATCTTCGTAGTGCAAAATAATTTAAAGATAGTATTATATATAGCCTCATTTATTTTCTTATAGACCCATTCTTTCTTGGGAAGGGCTATGTTATGATAACTACCTATGTTATTTATTTGTCTCTCTCATTAATTAGATGTCACGGTATTTTATTTTATTTTTAAGATTAGGTGGCATCTAGTATATTACTACCTATGCTGTTCTCACTATGGGTAGCCTTAGACTAGTCATAATGGAGAGTAACATATATACAATAGTAACATACACATATTCCTAGACTATGTTACTATCTTCATAGTGCTGGAATTTAGTCTATTTTGGGCAGTTCAATAACTATTTCAGAAATTCCTAATAAATCCTAGAGGCCCACTTAGCCCATTTGTGCAAGGCAAGGGATACTACTAAAAGTTTAGCCCCACATTGCTAGTTTAGTGAGAGTTGGACCTCTTATAAGGGGGGTTCTTTCCCCACTTGTATGAGCATGAGAACAAGAGGGACATCCACGCGCGCTCCTCCTCCGCCGCCTGCCTCGTCACGACGCGCCGCGGGTTGCGGGTTGCGGGTTGCGGGTTGCGGGAATGAGCCGAGCCGATGTCTAAATTTTTGCTGTAGTGGAGATTAAATGCGAACGCTACACCCTTCGGCTGCTGTCTGTTCGTTTCATCTCCCTCGGTCCCTTCAGCTCCTGGCGCTGCCCTCTTGCGCCTATAAAAGGGAGGTCGCTCCTCTCAGCAAGACGCACCAGAACTACTTCTTCCTCTCGCCACCGGTTCCTGAGCACTGC